CAGCTTTGGGTCGCGACCCATATATATGGAAATACTGTTGAAACAAACGCGTAAAATAAAGAGTACTATTTCAAAATACCCGCTTTTGTTTCAATTAACAATACAAGCCTGCTAATGCAGTCGGAGTGGTTCAATGGATATACACCGGTGAGAAGTCAATTATTGCTAGCAAGGATTGTTATGCAGCGGGATGATCACGACGATGCAGTGAAAGATAATGCTATCACGAGAACAAAAATGAGAAAATTGCTACATTTTATAGTATATCCCTGGGAAAGTATGTAGTTCATTCTTATGTTCAATGCCAATGCTTTTCAAACTACCAAACACTCTCAACACTTTTGCTTCTTCTCTTCTATAAAAATACATTGTTATTATATATTCGCATTTCCATCTGTTTGTTCGTGCTCCCAGATAACCGATCAGTGGCCTCCAAGGAGGCCGGGGTCCCCTTTTAGGAAATCCTGTCATAAACTATAAGAGGCTACCGTGCTTCTCGTGCTTGTTGTCATGCTGTCCCTCGAATTCAGCTACAACAAAAAATTCACGAAAACGGGTTTTAGATTTTATGATTTCATTGTTATTCTCGACAATGAATGATATGCATACAGGTGATAAAATGTCGAGTTATTCCAAACAGCATGATCATGTTTTGCAACTTACAACCAATATTTTATATGTAACTTTGTTTGACAAAGCCCCAAGGCCAAGAGATCTGAATACAAATATCAAAAATGTGAGGCCAAAAAAGTTACACTACAACATAGCCAAATGTGCTGTATTTACGATAGATAACAGGTTTACCAAAAAGCATTACATGAAAAATGGTAACATAGAGATCAATTTAGCAATATCTACTTAGGACTTGGCGATATGCATCTGTTGATGATTTTATCTGTTTGTTTCGGAAGTTTAATGACAGAATTAATTGTGGTTGTTGGAGATGTTTCAAAAATAAAGGTTGAATGAAAAAAGGTCTGACAAAATGTCAAGGTTTGAGAGTAGTAGAGAAGTGGAAAAAATACTCCCGTGTGTTCTTCATTTGATAACCACGACACAGAACTTCTCCGATAAATATACGCAGCAATTGCAAGAGGCAGAAATGCCAAGATGGAATTCCATCGCATTGCAAACCAATATTAGCGATTCTCAGATATATTCGCGCATTCCCATCTCAACAGCGTGGAAAAGATTATACCTATCTACACACTTGAAAAACTATGTCAGATGAGCGTCATATTATTGAATATCAGTAAAGGAATAGTGCAATGGGAATAGACATATATAAGGCGTAACTTTCAGTAATATGCATCAAATAATCGTATTAGGGAATATATATTTAAAAACATTTCGTAACGCCAACCGCAGTCCAAAACTTTTTGTCTCTGGCTGAGCTTAGATACCAATTGGCACTCATGTAAACTGGTAAGAGGCACGCGATGGAGCAGATAATATGAGTATCCATCCCCCAGCTATCATTTGAGTAGGTACTGCTGTTTTTATTGCAGATGATACTGTTTTTTTTGTATTAAAGATTTACTGGCATCACCGATTTAAGGATGTCAAGTGATGGATATAAATAAACCATTTGAAAACCAACACGCAGTATTACAAAATTAACTTCCAACACGCGGTTTGAATGAATAAAAAAGCTGAAACTAGTATTCTTTAAAACAGCATACAAATTCTATTGAACGAAATCATACACAAAAGCTCGTCAAAAACCTATAGCTCAATAAACAAGTGGAATTTGATGCATGTTCGCAAAAATGTGCGCGTGACTATACGTACAACCAAAGCACGCAGGAAAATGGGTGTGATGTACTAGTGATCAAAATGTTTGACTCAACTATGTTGGCGTAACAGGTGCACATCTCGGTTTCGCATACGCTTACCTTTTATCTCCACAAGGATATATTAATTTGGCCAAAGTCAATGCTACACACCTGAAAGGTTCCGGTTCTTACAAAAGAAAACACGTTACACATCGTTAGGTACCAGTGGATGGTTTTACATGGCCTTGTTCGGAGTGAAAGACGAGGTCGAATATTCCAATCCATTTCAACTAATCAAATATTTCCCAAGTCCCTAAGCTTTAAGCAGGAAAACGAAATGCCCGCAGCAACACAAATGTAGTTTGACGAGCGCAAAGGAAAATGGCTATACACAAGATGCTGTCGATGGATCTTAGCTTATATTAGTGAAATAAACTACCATTTATTCTACTAAAATTGAATTTCTGACATTGTAAGGAGATGCAATGTTACTATGTATTCAAAACTAACCCATGTAGTTATGAAATAATTGTTTTTAACGAAAAGGTGCTCTCGAAGTATTCATACCAAGATGGCGCACAACCTGAACATTGCATGTGTACCAGGTTAGGATTCAGGTTGTGCGTCATCTTGGTACGAATACTTGAAATCCATTTAAAAAAATTGCTCAACATTATATACTCCACATCCAGTATCATTATTTTTGTCATCGACATTGTATCTAAACAATAAAAAAAACTTTATGTCCCAAAACAATGTTAAGACCCGATTCTGCCGGACTATATCTATGAGGATTATAAACCTTTTTATTCTGAGAATCTATCAAATTCCAAATTTCTTATATGCATGAGGGTTATTATTGCAGATCAAATACCGTGCGTACTTTTTCTAAAATATTAATTTCCTTATTATGATGTAGATGCGGTGTGAACGACTTTTAGCTGCAGGTTTGAAATTTAATGTACCGTTTAAAAATTGAGTCAATATGGTCCAATTTCCGAGAATTTAGATATACCGACACAAATTCATAGCAAAATCCAAAATGTTATTAAACAGAGTGATTCATGGCGGAATTTCCTCTTCAGGTAAAAAACACTCGATTGGTGCTAGCATGACTCAGATACAATCATCTTCCTGGATTACCTTTTTAAGCGAATCACAACTCCATGCCAAACGGTCACGCTCATTTGTATTGAAATCTGACTTCTAAATAAGCACAGGCTGTCCACCTGCAAACATTACTGAAGCATGGACTCACGTGACTGATAAGCGGTATATTAGTCCGCAGAATGTGGTTTTATTCTCCAGTGGGCAACTGTCGAAAGTTAGCAATACCTCAGAGTCTGAAAGGTTGAGTAAAATTTTTATAGCATTAAAATAGCATTTTAATAAGATGCAAACGGTGCTAATTTTAAAATCATAAATTTCAAAAATAAATAACCATACATATTTATTTGTTATACGTTTGCGTAAAAATGCGTTTTGGTGTTTTATATAATTGTAATTCTACCAGAATTCGTGGAAAATGATTGTTCAAGAAGTTTTCACTGTAAAACATTTCACAATGTTACCACACGTTTAAGTTTTTACTGAATGATATTAAAAATGTGGTTGAATTATCCTTGATATCAATATCCTAAATGTTTTGTTTAAAAAAAGTATTCAAGAAATTTTCAAAATCAATTTATTGAAAAATAATTATTGAAAATATCAGAATTTTGTTTTGTTTCATACAGTATATCCCATGATTATTTCTCCTGTTTTAAAACCTTGGCACTCTTCCTAAGGTGGAAAATATCGCACACGAACATCCTGTAAGTAAGTGTTTTTCGCTCATCTGATCTTGGTTATACATTCCAATCGCTACAAGCGTGTCAGGGTACGTTCAGTAAACACGCGAGATATCATACGCTTACAGCTGATCTCTACAAAAGGGAAGGTTTTCGTCGAGTTCCAGCAGTGCGTGAAGGACGTCTGAGCCGGGGTTATTGCGCCGAGTTCAGTGTGCTCAGACGAGGAAATGTGCAGGACTTCGGATCGTTCAAAATTTATCGTTTTCTCGATATTCTTTGTGATTTGTCGACTTTGCTTCGGCCTTTCAACAGAATGGATGTATTTGCCAACACATTTTAATTAGTCCAGTAGGGAATAGTTGCCTTAGAAGTGTTCTATGTGCGACCATATCGAACCAACGTAAACGAGTGTCGTAGCTGATAAACCGTAAAGATTTTCGATGCTTTCATTCAAAAATTGAATATCAGAACTTGCACAGTTACCGGCAAACTAGTCATCAAATAAAGTAACACTAACGCTTATGCTCAGTATTCGTATGGTCTTTAAGATTTAGTCAGAGTAGTAAGATTTTAATAATACGTCATGAACAACAATTTGGCTCGGGATTTGTAACGTTTTTATTTGGACGTATAATTCCAGAATAATCCATTTGCAAGCGTGTTACGTTCTTGCAACGAGACAGATATATCGATATATAGCTTGTTTCTAAATGAAATGAATTTACAATAATTAAGTGTAATATCGATTATTATAGTGAAGAAAAGTTGTTATTTATAAGAAACATGATTCATCAAGAATACTACATTTTTGTTTCGAAAGTTCTTTGGGTATGTCTTATAGATATCAAAGAAAGCATTAGAAAGTGACGCGTAGAGGTATTAATAATTCCCACGACTGTCCCTATGATGTAAACTAGCAGCAAATAAAGGTATATAGTCAAATTGATTGTTGTTTGTGGTATATTATAAACAGTATATCTCCTATGGCTCTATGTATGAATACTTGGTTAGAACTACTTGAAAATTTAGGACAAGCGATTATCAACTGAAAGATGTCTACGAGATTTGATATTGACATAGTTTTTTTAGATTATAACCTCAACATACTGAGAAAATAATCATCGCATCGCATTCGAATATCTTTGACACAAAACCTGGAAGCTAGTTCAAGCCAAACTTGCTTAATCTTGCGAAAAAAGGGAATTAACTCATCTTCGGCTATACAAGATTACTATACATTATTTACGGCGTGATTTAATCCATAAATGGCCCGAAATGCATACTTCAGCGTTGAGCCCAAGCCAATTTCCCCCAAAGGTAGAAGATTCCAAGTTTGTAGAAAGGTTCGCCTACTGTATTTCCCTCTAGATCAGTGCACTTTTAGAATCTGTATTTTGTTCAATTTATATCTGTACATATGAATATACTTTATTAAACATGTTCAAAATATTTTGTACAGAATATTTAACGCATAGTATCACATTGCTAAATTAGTTCTGAAAAGAGAGCGAATATAATGAAACCGCCTGTTCGCTTTAGTTTGATATTTGGTATTTGGTGTTTGGTGTTCCGTGATTCATCTTCCAGTAGGCCACAAAATGATGAATGTTACATAAAGCCAGAATGTCAATACAAAGGAAATATGTGCGACGTGAACCCGATAGATTGTGAATTTCAAAAATTGTATGAGGAAGGTGGGTATGATGTTTTTCATTTTCGTTGAGGTTATAAACTACGATTACTTTGAGGCATTTCAATAGCAAAACATTCATATTGTATTTCACATCCCGAATTATTATAATTTTAATTCATTCATTAAGGTTGCTTGGCAGCATGTAAGGGATTATCCTATAAACAACTTTACAAACCAAGACAAGATGTGCAATTCTGGGTAAATACGACAAGGCCTTCATGGTATGCCAAGAACCTAACATTTACCATCGTATCGTAAGTTCTTAGTTCATGTTTGTATTCTACATGTAGTATTTACATCCAAGTAACAGTCGAATATGTAATAAGATTTTGTTTTTGTCCAACAATAACAACTTTTATTTTATTTTTATAATATATGAGGACGTTACATTTTAGAATTATAAAAAACAACTGGACAACAATTCCCGATTGTTGTGGAGTAAAATGGAACGAGTTTTGCACTTTGCCACGTATGGCCGAAGAAGAAGTATTCATGATCATCATACCACTCATTAGAGACACGTTTTGTTACTTCGAAATACAGGGTAATGTAAAGATTTTTATCACAAACCGCTCAACATACGCGATTCTATTTCAAAGAACGGTCGCCCGTAACATAAAATTTGATAAAATGAATATATATTGTAAAAGTTATTTTTAATTGTAAAATTAAATCTTTGCGGGGTTTTGTGATTTATATCTAAGTTCATCCACAGAATTCAACATCGAAACAACTTCGCATGAGTGGTGTGACGATGTGGTGAAGGTAGAATGTCTCTATGAAGTAAGTGGGGAAATATATTTCTTGAAAAAACATGAGGATGCCAGCACGGACAGGTTCCAACTCAAAGCAGAGTAAGTGCAAACTACTATGATGGGGCATATTTATTTGATAGAAATTAGTTAATTAGATTCAATAAATTTGATTGTTACATACAACATTAAACCACGCCATTAGCCTAACAGTCGTATTATTTGTACGGTAATTTGAATGACATCATAATGATATTATCACTCTTTAGACGTTACTGCTTTTTCGAAGCTGCGAAATCTTATCTTGCGTATGGTCGACACTATGAAGACAATGAGTTTGTAACTGGCATTAAAAATTTCACGTTGATTGAAACGACTGAAGAAGTTGAATGGGAAAATAATTCAATCAATTGTACAATAAATGGAAAAGTTTCTGATATCGAATCTTTGCTGCATAACAAAACTACTAAGAAAGGAAATGCTTTGTGTTGGTTCTTAAAGGTGTCTGGTGTGTGGAATCCTACTTCAACTTGCAAACTACTCACGGCGATATCTGGTATATATTGCTTTTTTTCTGCGGATTGTATTATGTTGTTTATATAAACAAACGTCCAAAACTAATGAATGAAAAACACTCGTTCGGACAATCTTACAAGTGTTTATAATTTTCATCGAAGTGGATGATATTTCGAATCTTTTCACTGACTGATACACTATTTTATTTAGATGATGAAACATCAACAACCAAACTAATTATTGTTATTGGGGTTGTTGTCGCCGTTGCCCTTCTCATATTTATCATCATTTTCTTCTGGTTATATAAAACCAAAATACAGAAATGCTTTCCTTCCTACAAGGAAACTCAAAGAGAAATATCCGTGAGTACATTCGTAACTAGATTTATTTAGAAATAAACTCCTCTTAATCACTACAGTATAGTATTTTAAGAGGAAATGAGACAAAGTAAAAAAAGTAAGGAAATGAGACAAAGTAAAAAAAGTACTGTAATTGAATAGCATACGGCCAAGTTCTTACCGCAGACCCCGATGTGACATCCAGCACCCTTGCATGTATTTTGAAAAGGATTTTTAGGTAGCAAAATAGAACAAGACTCAAAGAAACACCACTGGTCAAAATATTCAAGAACTATTAAAAAAATGATTCATGTTACTAATTCATCTAGTCATTATTCAAAGCAAGCAGATATTTTTAATTTGCTCCCGTTGTGCGAAACTTTTCAAAAATCACTGATTCTCATCTGCAAAGTTTAAAATCATGTATGACAATACTGTATCGCCATTTTTATAAATATATTCAGGAAAAACAGCTGTTCGAAATTGAAGAAAAGCAGAATTTCTTGCCAGATAATACAGTTATACGTAACCGTAGTGCAGGAGAGCAAGCTGACCAAATTTGTTTCGCAGGTATGCTTTCAAATATAAGATGATTTCTGGATTTTTTAAATGAAATATACATATTTCCTGAACTATGAAGTTTATGAGGACCGTAGCTATATTTCACAATTTTTTTTATATGCAAACTCGAATTGTGACAAACTTCATTAGCTTATTATTTGGTTTGAAACGTTTTACTACTTTTTAGATCATCAACACGAAGAAATCTGCAAAATTACCAGAACAGAAGCAAAAACTGCGCGCCCTGCCAGCGATATTCGCAATGAGGTTGACTCTGGATTTGGCAACGACTTGGATTACATATCGCCAACAGATTTACAGAATGGAGTCTATTCTTTTTCGAATCGAAAACATAATACATCATTTGATCAGTCGAATGAGAGCACAGTTGCATTAAACCATGAAACTGGAAATTATATGGCTATCCATTCATTTAAAAACATATCCTCGCTGGTCGACGAAGGTGAAACTATATCCCCTTCAAATATGGGTAATTCTAATGACCAATATGATTCGGGATTCGATAATAAATATGACCAAATATTATCAAAAGAACCTCAACACAAACTAGAGGTGAATATGAACCTGGCAAGTACTTTTTCCAATGATGAAAACTTAAGTGTGCATGACAAAGGTTTTCAAATCATAACGGCACCGGACCAAAATAAGTTCGCGAAAGACATAGAAGCTTTTCAAATTTTGACCGATTGTGAAGAACAATACACTACAAAAAATGAATTTCGAAACAGAATTTCGGCGAATAGACCCGAGACAGAGATTCAAAAACGATCAATAACTGATGACTTTGATATTGGAAATACAGCTTCCAGTTTGCCACAACGAAGTTCCACTTCCAGCACCGACACTGATTGTGGATCAGAGAAAAGTAATAATATTTTATTTAAAAGAAAATGTTCGAGCGAAAACGACATTGTGCAATACGTGAAAATGTCAAGAGCAGATACTGGGTTTGAATCCGAAGATTTAGAAAATGAAGTGTATGATCAACAAGATCATGAGATACACCTCATTGACGATGGTTATATGAGCAAAGAAATGAAGCCATATGAAGGAACGTCATTCCGAGCTTAGAAAGTGAAAAAACCAAGAACTATTCAGTTTGATACAATAACTTAGCTTGTGGTTATTTGATTCCCGTTAACAAAGAAAATATGTTTCATTACAAATTCAGCGGTGATTACTTTATATTCAAACCAGAATAAGTGAGGGAGGCATTTGATTGTACTGGTTACCACTTCCTTATAATCTGTAAAATGTAGACGCATATCGAAATGCAAACGCGTGCATACTGAGTGAATTGCTAAAAAACAACAGTGAGTAACAAACAGAAAGACTGCATTGATCTGCGCACGTACAAGCAACGCATCGGTTGTTTTTGAATCACCGCTCAAAACCATCGGAAATGCGTCAATATCGTACTCTTCCCCATTTCTGTAGATTTTATTATTCCTAACACGTTTATAAACTGCTTGTAACTCAGTAAGTTTGATTGTTTTGGGGTGCGAAAGTAGTGTTTGGAACGATACTCTTAATGTGACAATGACATGAAGTGCGAAATTTAAAAATATCAGTCTTCTAATTCAAATTTATTATTTGGATCTGTTTTTGAGTTTCGTATATTTTAACCAGCAGAATTCCTCGAATTTATTATGCAAATTATTTTCAAGATGTAACAAAATGACTCCATGTAATAGTCTTATTTACGTGACATCAATCAATCATAATTTTTAATTGCTTTCATTCGTTCTGTATTTAAAATTGCATAGATAGATTATCTGTAAATTCATGAGACATGACATACTATCATCATTTTGCTCTGATAAAAGCTGAGTCAATGCAGTAAATTGTACCGGTGTATTATTCTTCGTTTATACACACTTCAATGGAAATGTCTGGGAATTTTTCTATTTCCCGTTCCAGCGGACTTTTCTCAAAATTTTATTCAGACAATACTTTTATTACAGTACATCGCCAGTGCATCACCTGCTCAAGAAGGCGGAAACAGTTACTCTCATGTTGGTGTTATACACAACTACCCGTCATCTAATACATTTGCGCAATGATTGATTGATAATGATTTTACAATGATATTTTTATTTGAGATTTCCCTAATCGCATTCCGAAAATATTGTTTGTTGACGCTCACGATTCAGACATTTTGTTTGTAGCCAATTTCTGAGTTATTTGTACCGTTTTTTTTTAACATTTTTGTGCACATAATGTGTGAATCATTATTATAAGGTGTGACGCGTGGAAAAGAAAATAAGAGCATTTACAATTCTTCAAGCCATTTTGTTTTGTTTATTATATCTAGATATTTAAAAACTTTGATATTTCAATCTTAGTGCAAATACCAAATTTTCCCATCGTGCTGACAAAGGTTTTTGTCGAATCGCTAATGTTGTTTTATATGGATGAATGATATACATCGTCGGGGACTTAGCTTAGAAACTATGACGCTCAAATATTATATTAATCTTTTTACATTTAATACACACGGTTTCCACATACACTAATCAGTATATTCCTACTCTAGATTTATTTTATCCTATATGCACGTGTACAGTTGTGAGCGCTTCAAAACAAATAGCATGAAATGTAGATGTAATTTCATTTAGTTTATTTATTTTTTTGTTTGTTTTCAATAAAACACGATTTTAACAATAGTGATATCGAACCATCTGTTGCATAAAATTTTGCAGAAACACGTAAATTGGTCGAAATATTTAAATAGGTTATCAGGCTTTCATTACGTGGTAAATCAACAAGTTCTGATAATTCGAATTCTTCGGCCCAAATCGCTTATATTAGCAAACGTTAATAACAAACCTGTTTCATTCTCGCATATATTTATTTTGTTTCAAGTTCAAAAAACATGAACTTTAGCTAGGGTCCTAAATAAATAGATCGTGTGAATTTCTGGAAATAAATAATTTCACGCTTTTCTAAGAAACGCCCCCGCTGTAGTGTGTCATATGATTTACCAAATACCAAATGATTGTTGACCCATTTAAAATTGTTATAGGAATTTTAAGAGTAATCCATTGCGAGAACATGTATCTATTAACGATAGCTCAAATTAGGTTTTACAATCCCGCGATATGGTTTGTGACATTGCTCTGAATAGCATAAATGCTAACCCTATAAGCAATATAGTCAATAAAACAAACCGCAAACGTGTTCCATATGTCAAAACCGGAAACCAACGAGAAATACGCTCTATGTTGTAGATCAGGATAAAACGATCAAGTCCACAGATCCATGAAAATAAATCTAATCTCTGTTCGCTTATTCGAATTTATTGAAAAATAGTCGGATGTTTTCATGGGTCGATTTTTCTGGCAGTCAAAATGTACAATTTGCTTCGTCCTAAACACTGCCATTTATCAATTTCGTATTCTTCGTCTAAGGATAGTAAAAAGTAAGTATGCGGAGAACAACGTCCTTCGCCTTTATCAGAAACTACGACCGTGCACATGAAAGTAAAGATAGCGAGTTCATGATTGACATGTATTGTGTCACAAAAACAAAGAATGGGTATCGATAAACAACGAGTAATTACTAGATTATTTGCCTTTCATAATGAAACAATAGAAAACTTTATTGGTAACTGGATAATTCTGAAGCGTAAGTTCATGACACTGGGCTGTTTGTCAGTTGATAACGCACATTAAATTACATTGATGGATTATTAAGAGAAGTTTCTCAAATAACTTTATAAGTGTTAATTAGGTATGGAACAATAGGATGATTTATAGTCTTTACAAGCTCGATCTAATACCTAGTTGTAGCAGTAGCTTTCCTTTTGATATGAATTAAAAGTAACATTTTTATTGCTTCGATACGTTCGAAGTAACTCTCCAAAAACCAATAATCTATGATATTTTTGTCATCTTGCCAACCAAGTATATCCGGAATGGTAATGATCAAAAACTAAACTACGTTTCTGCGTCATAATACAAAAATACTTTGTTCGAAGAAATCATGAATTAAGAAAGAAATTTTAAATGAGCAGAAGCGTACAAAAGGGGTAAATCAGGCTTTTAGAATGAAAAACTGCTGACAAGCCAAATCCAGTAGATCGATCATAATCTGTTTTTAAAGACGAAAACGGATAACAAAAATGATAAATAGACGTTTCATCAGATCTATTTAAAACTATATTTTTTGTTTTGCAGAACCGATTTAGGACTACTTGGACAATTGGCGGGGCATTGCGCCGCCTTTTTTATAGTATTTTAGGTTAGGAAAAGCAAAGTTATTCTTTGAAACATTTGTAGATTTGAATTTAGAATTCAGTAGCTAATGGTCACGCTTATGTTATTATGTTCGTATCCTCATACAGACAAGAACAGCTTAGATTGAGACTGATTGACCCAATATACACTTGATCAAAATGCAATGTAAGTTCTTTGATTTTTAGTAAAAGCTGCCGTACAATTTCATACAAAACATATTAATATACAATCAGTAAAATTTGCAATCATGACTCTCTCTCTTGTCGGGCACTACATTTTCAATTAGACGTTTTTCATACGCCTGGACTTTTGTGTATAGTGCAGGAGTAAGCGGTCTTGCACAACCAACACCGGTGCTGACTATACCAGCAACGTACCAGCCACAGCTTTTGCATCTTTGACACACCAAAGGACTGCCGCTGTCTCCCTAAACCAAATATAAAACGTCTCATATTCTAAATATTTGTGCAAAAGGGGTAAAGATATCTTCTGTTTTCTGATTTACAACAAACTGATATAGTTACCTTTATCACTGAAATAGCGGAAGATTTTGCATGTTATATATTTCTGCCGGTCAACATCAGAAACAAAACATGTTATCATATCTTGAGAATAGAATATTTATTAAAGTAATTGAACATAATTAAATAAATGTCATGATCACAGACTTATACATACTAAAAACAGATCAGTTTTTATCCTATCTTTGCTCTATACCAGGGGTCGGGAACCCATGGCTCACGAGCCATATATGGCTCTTTTGGTGACGGCATATGGCTCCCAGAAAAATCTATTATTCTAAGATTAAGCTTACTATTGTTACTAGACATCAAACTATTTTATGGCCAAATTTGGCAAAAAATTCCCAATACGTTTGACAACGCGGGACCAGCGCATGTCTATGTTATGTAAGAGAATTACCAGACAGGCATTGTGACAAAACATGGGGATTCTGGAACATATATTGTGACATCACAAAGCGATAGAGTTTTAAAATACTACGGAGATTCCTAAACGAAAAAGTATCGTAGATTTCAACTTGGGCTGCATGTGAGCAACCGTTCAAGGCCCGCAGCGACAACATGCAGCATCAGAAGTCACATTAAATGTATATTGACATGGAATGTGTTGACTTTTGAGTAAACCTTTTAGGCCTGATTAAGTGAAGAAATGTTATATGGCTCGCACGGAAATGCAATTGAAAATATGTATATTGTAGGGCTCTCTTGACCAAAAAGGTTCCCGACCCCTGCTCTATACCTTCAAGTACTTTCGTGCACACACGACACCTTTTTGCGGATGACAAGAACGAATGTGGCGATTTAGTTATAGTTTGGAAAACTGGCGTCGACAGTGAACAACAAATTATTCGCAAAAATTCAGTTTGCTAAATCAAAGTAGGCTACACATATAGACTCTCGGTGGTAAAAATCTACACCTGGAACACGACGGAAGATTGTCGCTACTACCTGCACTGAATTTCCACCGACGTAGATGTAAACAACGTACAAACAAACAAACTACCATTATATATTGGCGTTTAAAGGTCGCCAACGAGACATTAGGAAAGGTCTACTGGTGATTTCGGAACAATCGTCGCCTTCTCTCTAATTATCATGGTTCTTATTTACAGTGTCAGCTAAAAATCAATGTCACAAAAACGTCACCGTCGATCATATAATCTCTGCCAGGCAACAACGTGGATAACGTTTTGAGTATATCATAACAGTGTTCAAACGATTCGTTTGACAACATGAAAACTCAATCCGACTTGTACACGATCGTTGAAATGTAAATAAAACTTGCAACTTACTTTCTCCCCATCCTAGTGCAAAACATCTCTGACCAACAGGTACAGCTTCACCATAAGATAAATCTATTGACTGAACGTTCTCTCGAAACTTTACTGGTTCGGAAAGCTGTAACAAAAAATTCTGACTGTATTCATGCTATCCTTGTGTAGACAATTACACATATCCGTGTTAGAAACCTAATTCATCAACTAATAATGGTGTTTGCCTTTATACCCTGATTGATGGTAAAATGCATACATATATCCTGTATTGGAAATTCCCGATTTGGGAAATTACTCAATTAAATGTAGCTCAAAGTTTTTATTTAGTTTCCTCCAATAAGTGGATCTTGAATGAGGGAATATGAGATTTATACATTTGTTTCGATGATGAAAAAAAATCTGACACCTATGTGTTTGTAAGCCAAAATCCTTTGGCTCTTTAAGTTAAAACTAAATGCAAAAGTTGATGATGTCTACGTAAAAAACTTTTTTTTTCTATTTCACTCGATCTAGCATATAAATGAGGTTTTAATGTGTATTCTTCCCTGGGTATTGCGCGGAGGGCTCCAATATTTAATTTGTGGACTGAAACGTAGCCACACTTACGTTCAAACATTGTCTTTTTTGTTAAAATATTTGGAATGGAACATATAGCTCAATATCCGACATAAAGTCATGATGTGGAAAGGTTAATCGAATGAAAATAAATCAATCCGGCCTTATGTTACCCAAGACACTTTCGTGAATGACTACGACGATGATGAAAATAATGGATGTTCTTCATAGCCATAAAAAAGATTCCAAGGTGTGATACGAATTTAATTTCGAAAAGATTTTACTGAGTAGGCGTTAAAAATTAATTACCAGATATTCTGTGGACGACATTGAAAAGTTTTCTCGTAAAACTCTACACTCTACAGCATAGGTCATTTTCTATTGAAGTAAACTTACTATAATTAGTTCAGTGTCGTTTGCTACAGTATTTGGATCATATCCTGGGTGAAGCTCTTGACTCGACCTCTCTTGATATAATATTGGCTCCCTCAATATCCACAGAGCCAAAGGGAATCATGTACTTTTCATAGGACCTGTTGAAGGAAATTTTGATTGGTAAGGATGAAAAATAGAGAGAGATCTCGACAGCAAATAAATACACACTTATCTGTTTGTCACTAACCAGAGGTCCTGCGCACTCAAATACGTCGGCTTTATAACGTCCAACCTAATTTTTTTATATAGATGTCAAGAAAATTATCAAATAGCGGACAAAAATGTATAAACAAAATTGGAATGTTAGTCCTTACCATCCAAGGCCACTTCAACTTCTCGAACTCCTCCCACAATTCTCGCAGTAGGCAATTCGCAACAACAATCGAGTTTATAACGCCTTTTCCAACCAACTGGACAAGAATCTACAAAAAAACATATCAAATGCAAAAATTTGAATGAGATTCTTTGCTAAAGTCATTATATAACATTCACTGCTTGGTTACTATGACAAACGCATTGAATTCCAAATAATATGATTCCATTGTAGATAAACTTATGAAAACGTGATAACTAATAACAATGCACGATAACCAATTGCATAAAAGGCTGATACCCCAAATGCACTTTTTTTGCGGATCTTCAGCGAGAGCGCAATATTGACAACCTGGAGAAGCGGAGCACTGCTCCTCAGATATATCCGCAAGAGTAAACGGAAAGCATTGAAGTTTGAAATCATCGCAGTTAGCTATTGGCAATGGAAAATCTAAAAACAGTGGAGGGTAGAAATTAAAAGTGAATTTAGCTATATGTAATCCAAAAAAGAGAATTTCTCAAAAGATGCCATTGTAAAGTATCACGAAAGTTGATAGAAAAAGTGTTTTTCAATATACACAAAATGCCATCCGTTATGTTTAAACTTTATTTTAAACAGAATTTCAAACTTGTTACTCATTAGTTGAATAATTAACAATACCTTCGATACATTTTGGTTTTTCGTTTCGACAGAGGTGACAACCCTTCTTTCTGTACAATTCAAAATTTCCCTTTGCGATGCATCGAACTCTTTTTGTTGGCCCGGTTTGAATACAATTGTCCACTGGTGACGATTGACAATCAAAAAGTAGTTTTGATTGAAAGCAAAATAGAAGTATTGAAATTAAAACAAAAATGTCAGCCAATTACCTGGCCGCCATAAGATAAAGGAATTGAAATTGAAAAATGTTTTGTTATTGTTTAGAGCTTCCATGACCTGATGAAATATTCGACTGACTAAAAGCTACAAATTGTTAAAGGCAATTGATCTTGATATAGTTAAGGGCCCTAAAACTTCATAACTTCCATTACTCAAATCATCACTAACCTCGCACACATTTGATAACAACGTTTGTTCTGCACCACGTGCACCTTTTTTAGCCATGCATCCTTCTACTGCAGGTTCTAGTAATTCGTCCCAACAGTCGTCAGCTTCGTAGGTAAGTGATGTTCTTTTACATGCCAAACTTTAAAAACAGTCGGCCTCCCTGCGTGTGGGCAAAATAGCATCCTTGTCTTTCACATAAAAATTTATTTCCACCAGCAAAACATTGGAATCTTTTTTCGTTCCGCAGACAATCTTCCCCTCTATCTCCCAAATGCAGCTTAGCATATTATTCATTAATAAAAAGTTTTTACTTTCGATTTTGTTTCCTGTATTTTATACCTCACCCAAAAGCTGAAGTGTTTTCTAGTTAAATCGTGATTAAAATTGCTATTTAAATTCCCACTCTATTTACACTTTGCGAGTACACTAATCAAAAATTGATATCAGTTTCATCACTTAAACTGATTGAATATACTTGCTATCCAAGTTACTTATTTACATTGAATTACAGTGATTAAGTGTGTCTATCATTGCATTCAAATATTGAGTACACGAAGCAAAGATTCGACAACTTCTTAAAATTCTACATTTACTCACCTCCAATAACGTGATAATTAAACAGAAAATATAAAAAGAATGAAACTAGAACGCTCTTTTTAATAAAATACTGCAGCATCTCAGATAAATCTCCCGCGTGGACATGTATGAGTTAACTATTCTTTTAATAATTAATTTGTTTTAATAAAGATTTGTTTAAGTGAAAAGATAATCCTTACTAACGGTTTCGGGTGAAGCTTGTGAGCGTGACAGTTCTCTGCCCACTTGACCAATATTAAACCGAATAAGAAATCGGTAAGTTAGTCAAAATACATTACTAGATGAAAAGGTATCGTTAATGATTTGTTTAGAAGCACTTGAAAAAATAGAAAATATGTAATGTTAAAGGTTGTTGTTTAAATTGTACTTTCAACATTTCGTGGACACCTAAACGCACTATACACAAGATAACGTGCTTCGTGTTATGCCACTTTGTAAACAGTTCTCTAAACTTTTGTGATATGAATGACATACCACCAAACATCTAAATATAAACAATAGTTTCTACGTGAACAAATATTCAAATGTTTATGGGATTGACCCACACTTGGTGAAATAAGAAACTCTAAGAAGCAAACATTTCAAAACGCTCTGGCGATCATTTCGGGCCAAACAATCACCATTAGATGCAATAAGTTATTGTTTATGACAAAATGACATCGTATTATATGCCAGTGCATTCTGGGTCAATCAGTTTCTGAGCTTTTTTTATCTTTATGGAAATACACGATGGTACCATAAAGTCATTAGCTACTCACTTCACAATTCCTACCATTACAAATAGGCCAAAGTATACTTTATTTTGACTGTCGTAAGATGGCATTATTAACAAGTTTATTATCGTGATCAGAATAATGGATTCGATAATACAAAATATAGTAAAACAAAACAGTCCTGAACCATAAAAATGGATTTTTGTCGATCTCCTGTATCCGTATCTATATTTCATCTATTCGCCAAGTAGTTATGGCTTGGATTAATTCGATGTAACAGGATGTTTCTCAGTCGCGGTGCTTGAAATCATTTTTGTTGAAATTTTAACTGAGGTTTGACATCTGTATTTTGAACCCGAAACGCAATTTTCTGTGCATGCAATTTGATTACCACATCATACAAACTCAGTGGATTTGGCAAGTTGACAAAATATATCTTAGTTTGGGGGTTTCTATGACCTTACCTCCGTCGTATCACCGTATCAAAACAGAAAATAGTAAATTGAATTTGTATAGAGCAAAGCTACCGCTATACCTGAGAACTTAATCAAGTTTGAGTCGTCTACAAATTATCCTGTTTCCCCATATTTGATCAACAATAATGAAAGTTGTGAGAGCAATCCATCAATATAATAAACTATACATTGTTTACTGCTGACAAGCAGTTCCTTCCACGACACAAACTCTTTTTAAATTGTTTGTTTATTTCAACAGCTGGTATAATTATCAAGTTGTCAATCAAATTTTCCATTCATATTGCAAGGCCATTGTTTCACTATCGATATCCGTTCTTATTTTCAAGAAACTATACGTGTCAATCACGGTCTTGCCAATTATGCTTTCATGTTTGTAGGGTTTCCGAATGCACTTAAATTTTTATAAACACGTCAAATAGGAATAACATATTCTTAACATGAAATAGCAAGTGTATTTTTAAGCTTACCTTAGCTTAGATCATAGTATATATCACTATATATATATATATAGCATATTTATAATTTATACGAACAAAACATGGTATAATCAAACATCTTATGAATTTTAGAATCAAACAATATTAATAATATAAAGATTTTTTGTGTTTCTATTTGGCATTATCAGCTAATTGATATGGTATCTATCGATTTGTCCCATTTTTCATGTCCCCATTGGTGATTTTTGAGCTTGTTTGTTTGTTCGATATTTTTATAGGCTACTGATTATCATTCCCATTCGTCCACGTATGTGCCACATATATATTCGTCGTAGGAATTGAACAAGAAAAAATGACATGTAACTCAATAGACAATACCTTAGAACTCAATTTACAAAAATATTGCGAGATTAATTATAAAAATTTAGAGTCTATGGTTTTTTTTTGAAATCAATTCATGCAAGGCTTATTTTGACGACTGGGAAATCCACCCGCAACATCCATTGCAATAACTCTGCTGTAAATTGTAATTGGTGGGTCCTTTCCGACCATCCGTTCTCAATAAAACAGAAATAACGTATTTGTGTTTTTGCAGCCGCGCTGGCCGCATATGCATATATTACATTATTAATATATAATAATATTATTACAATATCAATAATAATTTTGAAACAAATATCTTCTCATTTTTAAAAATACGAATTGATCCGAGCAAAAAACGACCAGATTCTTAGAGAGATTCGGGTGATACTAGCTTCCGTTATCATAAAGGATATTTCACTATGGATGGGCACATCGTGCGCTATCGATCCGGATCTGTAAGTGAAAAACATTTACCCAAGACGCTGTCTAGCAAGTTGTGGTTTTGTGGTTCAGACACAGAGAACACGTTTGCTGTTTATTTAATGGATTACTGTAGAGTATGGTGTTTACCAGCTATTCGTAGCAATGTCACAGATCGATTACAGTAGAATTCTCGTAAAATGGAAATAAGTCAACGATACGTTGGGCATACGTTTCTTGGGAAAGAAATAGTTAAATATCAAATATTAGCCAATTCAGGTTCACCGTCTCTTAACAAGAGACAAAGTAAATATACCCACGAAACTAAACAGAAATATTGATAACGTTTGCTGAAATAGGCGGGTTAGGTCGAAGAATCCGAGTTCTGAGAACTTAGTTGACTATTATCTACCACGTAATGAAAGTTTGTTACTTTAAAAATATTCTTCGGTTAATATAAATCTGAATGTTCCTCCAGCCAAAAATTTCATGCGAGGAATAAATCGATATCAGAACAGTTGGATTTGTTGAAACGACACCATCAGTCACCGTGGCATCAGTCAATGGATAAAATTTAAAAACTGGCCGTGGCACGGAAAGTGACATCACTATTTATACAAAATGATGCCAGACATGTTCTAATCCAATTCTGCATCTATGTCATTAAAAACTCAAGTATGTGTTTGAATGTTGATTTTTTTACAGAAATATATTTATACATAAAACTAAGTCGCATTTTTACACAAATGTATAAAAATAGGTATGGTTTTTTCACAAATATTTCACTTAAGATGAGCAACGTTTACATTCTATACAAATCCATTTTAAAACACCACTAATTATCTTAGGGGATTGTTGTGGGTGAGTCATGATGGCGGGAATCGAGGGTAGTTGACCTGAAGAGGAAATTCCGCCATGAATCACATGTCTGGTATTTTTTAGAATTAAATTCAAAATTTTCGTCTTTCATCATAAATTCTTGGAAATTCGACCACACTGACTCAATATCCATTTTATAATTAATATTTCAGGAAAAGGTAATATTCATACAAGAAATCTTGGATTTGATAGCTTCTTGGAAGAAAACGATTTTGTAATCCTAATAGATGACAGGCAGAATATTTCCGAGAGACATTATACAGGATTACTCGAATAATATTTTTGCACTCTTGTCTTCATATGGCAGACTTCCCTCAGTTCACTAATCTATGTGATTATCAACCAGCGGATCATAACACGTTTTAAGACTTTAATGAGGAGATATACCATCCATGATAATTTTGTACGGTTTTTTGTTTATTCATTTTATTTTTTAATAAAGCTGCGGAAAATGACAATAACGTTTCCATAACAATAATCGAATCATGGCTTCTCAAGCACGACTGGTTGGTTCTGATTGACCACAAATTCAATTTTTTGATAAATA